CTGTGCTGCTGTCTGCAAAGTAACATTCTGCAGCTTTTCTAAGAACAAAACATTCTGTTGAAGGATGATGCCCCAGGAAGGGAATTTACACTTGACATCCTATTGCCCCCCAGTTGAGTTCCTGTTTTTTCCTGAGTTTGTGTTTTTCCTTCCCTGGCTTGGTGTATATATTGTACCTGCCTAGTAAAGGCATTCCCTCATAACGAATGAGTCTTTCTTTAATCCCCCAGGCCTACGCTTGAGCTCAGTCCTGTGGCAGCGCTGGAGCTGTCACAAACAAATAAGTAAACAAACAAATACGGGGGCTATAGATCTCTACCAGTGATAAAGTACTTACCTAACAGGTATGAAGCCATAGGTTTGAATTCAGCACCACAAGAAAACAATCTACAACTGATTGTAAAGGCAGGAAGAACAATGCTATTCTCCTTTCTCCATTGAAGTGCTCCCTACCCAGAGATAGCCTTCCTCCAGCAAAGTTCTACCTCTTAAGAATCCCACAACCTCCCCAAAGAGAACCAAGTGTTCAAGTACGGGAGCCTGTGGGGGACATTTCTCATTCAAACCCAACATCAAGTGAGCATTCTTACCCACTGAGCCAACTAGTTCCCTAGCCTTCCTTCCATATACATTTTATAATATGTAAAATGTATTACATATTACAGGAAGCTTTGCTGGTATTTGACTTTTATTCAAAAGCATTCCATTTTGGCACACTGTCACCAAATAAATAGTTCCACACACTGGCCTTGCAAGTGTTCTTTAAACTTCACTGTGATCCTATCCACATATTGGTGAGTTTATAAAAAGATAAAGAGAAAGAATATGTTTTGTGTGTGTGTGTGTTGTGAGGTATGGGGGAAGGGGATGATGATGTCTCAGTGGGCCCATGCCAAGGCAGCTCTTCCTCCTGAGGGACAGGACGGTATAGTATAGAATAGAGTTTTTTCAGCGTATGAGGAGGGCAGTTAAGACGGTGAAAAGAGAGGCAGAGAGAGAGAGAGAGAGAGAGAGAGAGAGAGAGAGAGAGAATGAGAGAGTAGAGAAGTAGAAGCCGGCTATGAGCACATGGAGAGGGAGGAAGGGAAGGGGGAAGGAGGAAGGGGCAAGGGGACAAAGAGAACAAGAGAGCAAGAGAAGAGAGAGAGAGGAGGCAAGCAGCCCCTTTTATAGTGGGCCAGGCCTACTTGGCTGTTGCCAGGTAACTGTGGGGAGGAGCATACCTGGCTGTTGCCACATAACTGTGGGGGTGGAGTTTAGACAGAATGCTAACACATAAAGAGGAAACTAGAAATGGATAAATTAAATAACTGGTTTCATGTCACCTTGCTGGCAAGTGGCAGGGGTGGGATTTGTAGCAAGGTAGCCCAGTTCTAGAAAGTACACCCTTACCCGCCTTGCTACTTCTCTTAGTGGTTTTCAACCAAGAAATTTTTGTCACTGTGGTACGGTGGCACATGCCTGTAACTAACACATGGGAGACTGAGGCAGGAGGATCAGTAAAGAGATATCCTTAGCTTCAGGTTAGATCAGTTAGGGTTACATGAGAACATGTCTATAAAGAAAAAAAGAGCCCTTTGAGTCACAAATTGTGATGCATACACAACCCAGTCCAAGAACCACACCTCGCTCCCAATCCCCCATGTGGCACAGAAATGACATCAAGAAATTCCAATCACGAAAGTTTGAATCTTTCAAGAGGGTTGACCTGGAGCTCCTGAGGACTTTGTGCTTTGCCAAAAAGACCAGGAAGGGCCTGAAGCGAATACCAACAATGCCAAGGCAGTGGGTACCAGCCAGACTGTTGTGACAGGTGCCTCAGGAAGTGATGTTCAAGATGCCAAAGCTGCCAAAGTCCCAACCTACAAGCCCTGACAACTTGTTTCCCTTTGCCCACAACAAGCTTGGGAAACTGATTTGTGGCTACATGGCCAAAGGCCACTGTTGAAGGAGATATTTAAAATGGCTGCTTCCAATCTTGCTTGTTCTTAGCCAACATCTTCACGACTAGACAAGGTCTTTGGCCACGAGTGGCAGCGGCGTGGTGTATATTTTTGCCCTGGCTCGGCTCAGGCAGCTGGCTCACTGGCCCTGCCACCCATGAGACACCAGTGTGGGAGATGGCTCTGCCAGTCTTCCACGCTGTCTCCACAAGGTTGGGCTGAGCCCAGACCATCCTGCCATCCAGGCGGTACCAGGTAGAAATGAGACTCTAATTTTTAAAGATTATCCAATAGCTTTATATATTGGCTAATGCTCAAATAACAAGTTGCTCACACAATTAGAAGTGTTAGCCAATTAACTAACCTATATATAAATTGTTACCTAGGACTTTTTTCCATACTTGCGTGGCCATCCATGGCTCCTACATCTCTGTCTCCCTAGCTCCTCCTCTTCCTTCTCCTCTTCCTCTCCTTACTCCTCTTCCTCTCCTTATTCCTCCCACCTTAGCTCCTCCCAACTTATGGGGAAAATTTCCCGCTACAGGCCACATGTTCAGGCAACTGAAGACCAAGGCTCACAGCAAGGCCTCTCTGGTTCATCCCAGGCCTCAGCCAATCAGGCTCCCAAAGGTGCCCAGGACTCTGTGAAGGCCCCATCGTAAAGCTTCCTGTCTGCCCATTCCAAGACTGACAACCCCCTCACGACACAGTACAGACATCTGGTGTCCTATGCCGTTTTTACAGATAAACTTGAAGCAAGAAAACAACTACAAAAATACACCCAGAAATTTTTACCAAGCCAGATATGGTGGCACACACCTGGAATCTCAGCATTTGAAGGACAGGGGCTGGAGGGAGAATCAGGAGTTCAAGACCAGTCTCAGATGTGTACTGTGTTGAATGTCAGCCTGGCTACATGAGATCCTGGCCAAAAATAAAATAACAAAACAGCAAACAAAGAGCAACAACGTTAACCCTTTTAAGACTGGAATGGTGGCTTAAGCTGTACTTTTAGGATTTAGGAAGCAAATTAAAGGATTGACCACAAGTTCAAGACCAGCTGGGACTCTAAAGTAAGGCCCTGTCTCAAAAAAAAAAAAAAATGATTGTTTGCCTATCCTATCCCAGGGACTGTTCTAGATGTTCATGGTCTGACAACCATGAGTAAAATAAGATTACATGTACATGAAACAACATTCAGGCTCTCCTGGAGCTTGTGTGGTAGGAAGCTGTGGAAAGCCACCAGTATGAGTGTTAGAAGTACGGTCTTGTTAAAATATTTTATTATTCAATGTATATGGGGAACGCAGCTACTTTCAGTCATATGTGCTGGGGTTTTACCCAAATGACATGGCGATTCATTAGGTAGAAACACATACCACAGTTCTGTAGACTGGAAAATCCCACGGCTGGTAGGCAAGAGCTGGGAAGGCCCTGGAAATAAAGAGCCAGCCCTTTAAGGTGGCGGAGCTGTCTAGACCGTAGCTCCTGTGTGGCAGGAAATCAGACCACACCTGTGCCCTGCAGGTATTCAAGGGACTGAGAAAATAGGAACATATGCAAAATGCTGAAGCCCGTGTGCCGTCTCTGAGACGAGCTCAAACCAGACTCAAGACGGGGCTCCTTACAAAGTGATCAGATGCTTTTCTACACTATTTTCTAAGAAACTTTGTATCAAAATGGGCCATACACATAGAAAGCACAAGGACTGGAAGGTGCCACTCCACAAATGTCACTGGCAGAACCAGCACCCAATCAAAGAAACAGAACACACCAGGTCTCCAAGAGTTCTTATGCCCTGTGCAGTCACTAGCCTCAATAATGACTGTTATTGCTTTGCTGAGACAGAGGTCTTCCAATACAGCCCTGATGGCTGGGTACTCAATATACATTCCAGGCTGAGGCAACCACCCTGCCTCACTTCCCTAGTGTTGAGATTACAGCTCAGAACCGGTACAGGGTCTCACCAGAGTAATATTAATCACCACAGATTCATTTTGATGTTTGTGAATGTCAGATAAATAGAACCACAGACCGTCTGCCTTCCCTGGCTCAACAGTATGTTGGCGAGACCCACAGTGCCATCACAGGAAACTGTGGATTGTCCATTCTTGATCAGTCCATGGGAGAGGACACCTTTATTCTTCTGCACCGGGACCTGAAGGCTGATTCCCGAAGGTGGCTATGCAGATAGCATTGCTAAGAACATTTTCGTGCATAGTTTGGGGGGAACATATGCACACAAAAAATTCCATGCAGGATATGGCCCTAAGAATGAAATTGTTGGGTCCTAGGGATATATGAGATTTAACAACTTTTAGTAGATATTGCTAAATACTTTTCTGAAGTTATGTTTGTTTTATTTTTATTTCTTTTTAAAGATTTTAATCTTTTTGTTTGTTTGTTTTGAATTTTTATTTATTTTATGTATATGAGTACACTGTGGCTGTCTTCAGACACACCAGAAGAGGGCATCGGATCCCATTACAGATGGTTAGGAGTCACCATGTGGTTGCTGGGAATCGAACTCTGGACCTCTTCAAGAGCAGTCAGTGTTCTTAACTGCTGAGCCATCTCTCCAGCCCCATGTTTGTTTTATATTGCTCAAAACTGTTCTTTTGAGGGGCTGAAGAGATGGCTTAGTAGTTAAGAGCACTGGCTTTTCTTCCAAGGGACCAGGGTTCAATTCTCAGCACCTACATGGCAGCTCCCACCTGCCTGTAACTCCAGTTCCAGAGGATACAACACCCTGACACAGACATACATGCAAACAAAACACCAATGCACACACAATAAAAATAAACATGGGAAAAACTTTACTTTAAATGTTTCCTGGCAGTGGTGGTGCATGTGTTTAAATCCAGAACTTGGGAGGCAGAGACAGGTGGATCTCCATGTGAGAGGCCAGCCTGGTCTACAAAGTGAGTTTCAGGACAGCCAGGACTATAAAGAGAATCCTATCTCAAAAACCAAAAACAAACAAAATGTTCTTTTGGTAGGGCTGGAGAGGTGGCTCGGTGGTTAAACTTTTTAAAAATCTAAAACAAAAACAGTATGTTCTTTTGGTCTCTTTTATAAATGTAAAATTTTTAAATTCATTTAACAATTTTTACTTGATGAATATGTGTACACATGCGTGGCACTTGGGTGGAGCTGTGGTTCTTTTACCTTCACGTGGGTTCTGGGGATCCAACTGATGTCAGGCACTGTGGCAAGTCCCTGTACTTCTTTGGTTGTCTCTCCGGCCCTCCACGGTTGGTTATTCATCCAGTATGAACAAGTGGGGTTCATTTACATGAAGTATCGTATTTAATTTTCTCCAGAGCCCTCTGGGACGTATCTTATCATCTTCTCTCTGTAGGTAAGGCAGTTTAGAGAAGTGAAGAGACTTGTCCACATAGCTGAAATGCCTAGATCTAAACTTAGGTCTAAGTCAAGAGTGTGAGATCTTGTCATTTTTTTATGCATACATAACTTTTAAATCAAATGGCTCTCAGGAGTATACACTATCTTCGCATCTGATTTCAACGAAATCAAATACATTTGGTGCCTGTTACGTACTGAAAACATTTGTAGGACTCATATTAATTTACTTTTTCTAAATATTCCACCAGATTCTCTGCTTAGAAGGCAACTAGGTTTGAATGAAATCTTTTGTTTGTTTGTTTGGCTGATTGGTTTTAGTTTTTGGTTTTTGAAGACAAGGTTTCTCTGTGAAGCTCTGGCTGTCCTGGAACTCACTTGATAGACCAGGCTGGCCTGGAACTCAGAGATCTGGCTGCCTCTGCCTCCTGAGTGTTGGGTGGGATTAACGGTGTGGGCTACCACGGCCTGGTAGTTAATTTTTTTTTTTTTAATGTATGTGAGTATGTGAGTGTTTTTGTCTGCATGTATGTATGTGCATCAAATGTATATCTAGTGCTCACAGAAGCCAGAAGAAGGCAGTGATTTCCTGGAACTGGAGTTAGAGATGTCTGTGAGCAGATGTGTGGTTGCTGGGAATTGAACTCAGGACCTCTGCAAGAGCAGCCAGTGCTCTTAACCACTAAGCCACCTCTCCAGCCTCTTGAGTGAAATTTGTTTTTGGATGATTCTAGGAGAGATGAAGAGAAGTTTGAGTGGGTAGATACTAGTCATGGTTTGGCAGCACTTTCTGGGGAGAGGTGAGGAGGTCGGGATGGAGAAAGGAAAATGGCGTACCAAGGGAGAGGCAGTAAAGGCCCTTTGCTCTAGTTTGGTTTCTGTTGCTCTGATAAAACACACTGACCCAAAGAAACTTGAGGGGAAATGGGGTTTATTTCAGTTTATACTTCCAGGCAACAGTCCATCAGTGAGGGAAGTCAGGAACCGGGAGCAGAGACTGGAGGAAGGCTGCCTACTTCCGACCCATGCAGCTAGCTTTTTAAATACAGGCCAGGCCTGCCTGTCTTAGGGCCCTTAGTGGGTTGCGGGCTCTCACATCAACCATCAATCAAGACAATTCCTCACAGGCGTGGCCTTAGGCCAATGTGACTGAGGTAATTCTTCAACTGAGGTTCCCCTTTCCCACTGGCTAGAGGTTATGTCAAGTTGACAATAAAAACTATGTATTACATCCCGCAAAGCCTTTCTAAAAACAAACAGACAAACAAACAAAAGCAAGTGCCGCATGCACTCATGTACCCTGGCATACATGAGGAGGTCAGGAGACAGCTTACAGGAGTCAGGTCCCAGGAACTATAAACTCAGGTTGTCAGACTTGGCAGCAGGAGGGGCCTTTATTCACGGAGCCACCTCACAGCCTCTGCAAATTCCTTCTACCAGAGCCATCCAGTTCTGAAAGGCCAAAAAGAGTAAAATGAACTTGAAGCAAATCAGCCAACCTGGCACGGCTGGGCTGTTTAAGTATGTAAACACTCTGAGTGACCAATGACAATGACGTGGCTGGCCACTTCAGGCACAGTTGCTCTCCACTGAGTCCCTGGCAATGCAGCAGGCTATTGTGGCCCTGTGCTGGGAGTGGGAGGGACTGAGCCGCAGATGACGTGGCAGCACTGACAGAAGAGGCAATGTCATGGTGTCCCTTGGCTAGGTGGCCAAGGGGACTGCAGGGATCCTGAGGAAACAGAAAGAGAATGCCTATGGGTCATTGTTGTAGGCAGGAACAGAATGCTCCAAAGTCCTGCCCTCTGGCCCAGCTCCCAGCACAGCTAGTGCCTGAGAGTGTCCAGTTGTTTGGACAGTTTCACCTCCTCATCACAGCCTGCTCAGGACCAGAGCTCGGTTTCCTTTTGACCCTAGTTTCAGATGGCCCACGATGGCCCTGCTCATGATTCAGACTGAAATAGCGGCCTGCTTTGCATACCTGTTCAGCCTGCATTTCAGTTCTTGTTTCTTTGAAAAGGATCTGTTAGGGAAGGAGGATGAAATGTCAGGTTCCGGTCTGGTATTCCCCACAAGGCCCTTCAGCCGCAAGGCCTGACTTGTGTGGGATTCCCGTGCATGCCAGGGCGCACTCCCTGCATACTAAGAGGCTCTGATTTACAAGTAGCTGGCTGACTGGTGACACCACGGTGTTGTGAGATGACATGGGTCCCCTTCCATGGGGAAATCACTTGGTCAGGCCCAGCCCATCCTCACTTAAACATGCCTGATAAAGACAAGATGCACCAGAGCTGGCTAGCCTGTGCTAATACTTAATCCCTATACCGTGAAGACATCTTACATTTACTCTTTTTTTTCCTTGGAGAAGCAGATGGTGGCCCTCTACTGTCCTTTCCAAATACAAGCTCAGGTAGGTCTTTATCACCGTCTGGGTACTTACGTTCACTATGTAGAGCATGGAGTTGGGGTTTGGTTTGTTGTTTGTTTATTTGCTTTGAGACAGGGCCTCAGGTATCCCAAGGTAGTTGAGGATGGCCTGTAACTCCTGATCCTCCTGCCTCCACTCCCACATGCTAAGATCACATGTGTATACTATCATGCCTTGTTTCAGTGGGGATCGAACTTAGGGCTTCTTGCATGTTAAACAAGCACTCTGTAAAAGCTTGAAAATTCTCCGAAAGGGAACCATTTGTTGTCCCTCCTGTTTGTTGGAGGGATGTTATCCCTCCTGCTCGAAGAAGGCACATGTCTCTTTTCAGAAACTGATAGTTTTACCCTTACCTCCCCCAATTCACCCCCTCTTTCCTCTGAAGAGCCCCTTTCCAATTACCTATACATTACTTATAGAAGTCTTTATGCATCCACTTCATCCAGAAAGCTCTTCCCAAATCCTGAACAACACAGCCATGTAAGCTAAGAGCCAGGTGTGCGTGAGGGAAGCTATAGACTCCAGAGTAACTGGTCAGATTTATACATACAGTATATCAAGAGTCCCACTAAAAAAATAAATGAACTTGAACGGTTCACAAAAGAGGAAACATATTGTGCTAAAAGACACGTGGGAAAAAGTTCTACTTCAGTAGTAACAAAAGCAATGCAAATTTTTAAAAAACCCAGGTACCACTTTCATCTATAAAACTTGTATAATAATTTAAAAAAAAGAAAGAAAAATAATAACCAGTAGTAGCAGCAAGCATGCAGTGCAGTGACCTTCCTCATGCACTGTAGTGACCTTTCTCATGCACTGTAGTGACCTTTCTCATCCACTATAGTGACCTTTCTCATTCAGTGCAGTGACCTTCCTCATGCAGTGCAGTGACCTTTCTCATGCAGTGCAGTGACCTTCCTTATGCAGTGCAGTGACCTTTTTTGTGCAGTGCAGTGACCTTCCTCATGCAGTGACCTTCCTCATGCAGTGCAGTGACCTTCCTCATGCAGTGACCTTCCTCATGCAGTGCAGTGACCTTTCTCATGCAGTGCAGTGACCTTCCTCATGCAGTTTAGTGACCTTCCTCATACAGTGCAGTGACCTTCCTCATGCAATACAGTGGCCATCCTCACCCCTGCTAGCAGGATGGTGAATAGGTACCACTTTCAGAAAAAGTGTTTGGTATGGTGACTCTATACCTGTTAAACTGTGCTAAGACAATGACCCAAGATATGTACAAAAGTTTACAAAGACACTGTTACTTGTAACTGAACAAGCAGAAACAACTTGTAAATAAAAATAGACTTTCACTCAAAAAGAGTATTATCTGAATTATAATTAAACACTGAATAATTAATAATAAAAATAATAATCTTTTTTTTTTTTTTTTTAGTTTTTCTAGACAGGGTTTCTCTGTGTAGCCCTGGCTGTCCTGGAACTCACTCTGTAGACCAGGTTAGCCTCGAACTCTCAAACTCAGAAATCCGCCTGCCTTTGCCTCCCAAGTGCTGGGATTAAAGGAGTGTGCCACCACCGCCCGGCTCATCTTTTTCTTTATTTTTCCTTTTTTTTGAAATAAGGTTTCTCCTTGTAGCCCTGACTGACCTGAAATTTACTCTGTATACCAGGATGGCCTCCAACTCAGAGAGCTGCATGACTCTGCCTCCTCAATGCTGGTATTAAGGGTGTGTGCTAACCACTTAGTCTAATAATAGCATTTTAATGTTCTGGTTAAGTATGTTGCAACATATTCTCCCAGTAGAAAATGAGTGAAATCATTAAGATATTTTAGCTGTGTATGAGGGCACACTCCATTACTCCTAGCACTCAGAAGGCAGAGGCATATCTGTAAATTCAAGTCCAGCCTGATCTATATACCAACAGCCTGGGCTTACATAAAGCTTTAACTTGGAATGGTGATGCACTCCTTTAATGACAGCACTTAGGAGACGGAGGTGGGTATATCTCTGTGAGTTCAAGGCCAGCCTAGTCTACACAGTAAGACTGTCTCAAAAGAAAAATAAAGGTGGATCCTGGAAAGAAACTCAGGTCTCCAGTTGTGGAGACATGTTTATCCACCGAGCTCTCTCATCCCCTCTCAAGAACCGTGTTTGTGATATCATGAGAAAATGCTGCTTTTGTTGTTTGTTTGATTTTTTTTTTTTTGAGACAGGATGTCACTATATAGTACTTGGCTGGCCAGGAACTCACTATGCAGATCAGGCTGTCTTCAAACTCATAGAACTCCACCTGCCTCTATCTCCAAGTACTGGGACCAAAGGCATGTGCCATCCTGCCCACCGAGAAAATGTTTTTTATAAAAAGATTCTTTTTTTTTTTTTTAAATCATGCCTATGTGGAGAGATATGTACATATGTGTCTGGGTGTTTATGGAAGCAAGAGGGAGGTGTCAGATCTCCTGGAGGAGGGATTACAGTTGCTCATTAACCATTGCTGTGGGGGCTGTGAACTGAACCCTGTCCTCTGAAAGAATAGTAAGCTCCCTTAATCTCTAGGCCATTCTCCAAGCCCAAGAGATGCATCTAAACAATGTTAAACAAAACCAACCAAACAAACAATCAAAACCACACAAAACAGATATACAAAGCTCATATAAATAGACAACAGAAAAAGAAGGCAGTTGAACTTGATCTGTTGTTCACTTATTTGGTCTTGAGACAGGGATTTACTCTGTAGCCCAGGCTAGTCTGGAATTCATTATGTAGCCGAGGCTATACTCAAGCTCTTTGCAACCCTCCTACCACAGACTGCCCAAGTATTAGATTGCAGGTATGCACCACTTTACTGTGTCTGGATGGCAAGAATGAATCATCATGCCCTAGCAGGTTTTGTTTTTATTGTTTGACATTATTCTTTCTTTCTTTCTTTTTCTTTCTTTCTTTCTTTCTCTTTCTCTTTCTCTTTCTTTTTTGGTTTTTCAAGACAGGGTTTCTCTGTATAGTTCTGGCTGTCTTAGAACTCACTCTGTAGACCAGGCTGGCCTCAAACTCAGAAATCTGCCTGTCTCTGCCTCCCAAGTGCTGGGATTAAAGGTTGTGTGTGCCACCACTGCCCACGACATAATTATTTCAAATTTTAAAAAACTATTTTAAGGATTGAGTGTTTTACCTGCACGTGTGTGCCTGGTGCCTGCAAAGGTCACCAGTTCTTCACTGTTATTGTTTGCTTGTTTGTTTGTTTCAAGACAGAGTTTCTCCATGTAGCTCTGGTTGTCCTGGAACTCACTTTGTAGACCAGACTGGCTTCAAATTCAGAGATCTCTCTCCTCTGCCTCTGGCTCCCGAGTGCTGGGATTAAAGGCATTCATCACCACAGTCTGGCTAAAAGCAACTGTTTTTTAAAATTGCTGTCTTTTTTCAAGTCTGTAGATTGATATAATGAAGTCTTCTTTTTTGATTTGGATCAAAAAAATCTTGGGATAACAGTTAAACTTGTCATTCTTGGCCAATAAGGTCCCACATTCTGCCCTGGGTTGCTATGTCTTTAGGTCCCCTGTGAACAGCTTCCTCTATTGCCAACCATGGAGAGTCAGGTGGGGTTTCATTCAGACTGTGAAGAAGAAAGATAACTCCAGAAACAATCAAAACAAACTCACAGTTGCTATGCTTGTCCAGCACCAGTTCCCAGACAACACAAAAGCTCTCCCCCAACCCCCGGTCCTGAGTGCTTCCCACTGTCTGATGAGGGAGAAAGTCAGCAAACCCAAACGTGCCAGAGGATTGTACCAAGTCAAACCGGGAAAGGCCCAAAGGAATAGGACTGAAGATTCTCAAGGGCCTAATTTAGATCTCGTGGAGGCACCAGTGAGGTGGTTGGCCTAAGGAAAGCCTCTAAAGGGGGCCTCCTAATGAATTTATAGACAGGTAAAGGTTAAATGGCAAATCGTGGTTAGAATTCCGAGCAGACTAAAAAAGCATGACCAACATAAAAATGTTACATAGATTTCCTTTCGTCCAGTGTGTGTGTGGTGTGTG